CAGCCTTTGGCCATTGCGAATTGCTTGTGATTGCCCCGGTGTTGTGTGGTTTCTGTGTCTTGTTTTTTTTTCATGGTTAATGAAGGACATTTTTTATTGAAAATTTTGGGATGATATTTTCAAAATAAGGCTTATCTTCCTTTCTCTCTCTTGTCACTAATGAGCCACTAATAATCAGTGCTAAGAAAAAAAGAGAGGCAAATAAGAAGGCAGCAATCACAGCGGGCAGATAGTAAGGGCATACCACGTTAAAGTTAAGAGACTCTTCAATCCACTTTTTGGCATCCTTGTACTCCTCATCAAGACCCATGAGGTACAGTGTGTCGATTGAATCTACGATAGTAGCACCCAGAGGTGCACGCCCCAAGACGGAGGGTTGGTGGCCTCTTTTGCTCAGAGGACGGAGTTCGTTGGATCCCCATGCGTGCGTCTTGTAGGATTTCCAGGCATGTCTCATCATCTACCGGCATAGAAGGGAGAGTGAAATGAATAAGTTCTTTGAAAAAAAATAACGAGGTAGACGGAGAGATACAAATATAGCGAGACGGTTCGACTCAAAGAGAATTCCAAAACCCCGCCCAGTGGAGGGGGCGCAGAACAGTTCCAACTGCGCTGTGAATGTTGGGCTATGCGCGCGGGAGAAGAACGAAAACGAACGAAACATTGTGACACTACTGCTTGACGACTATCCCTCGAATGAAGTACATCGATTTCGTCCCAGGTGAGACTGTCTGCACTCGCTGTGACATCATTTTAGGGATATTCCAGGCCATACAACGAAGATAAATGAAGCAGTTTGGGCACGTTCTTCGTCGTCCACCTCAAGAGCTCGATGTAACTGCACTCGACTCGCCACCGATACCTCGTTAGAGGCGTCGAAGAGACGTTCAACTCAAAACCTAGCTCGACACAGTTCGTCAGGACATGGAAGTTGTTCTTGGACCTTCGGTATTCGGACTCTGTCGTTGGCAGAGATAATGGATTGAACTGTTCAGGTCTGCAGTCACGGAGTGTCACGCATAGAGAGGTACAATACGTGACATCAACAAGGCCGACTAGATCAGGCATAATCGCAGCCGTAACAAGTAAAGTACAAGCACTCTGTCAAGGTAGATTGGGTAAGTTGCTACACTGGAATAAGCGCACACTGGGGGCGCCTCAAGGCAAAAACAATTCCGTTCTCGCCGATGACAGAGATCGCAAAGGGGGCAGTACACACAGCTGTAATCATGCCTGTTCTAACCGTCGTCCATGATGTCACGGACGGTACCTCTACACGCGTGACGATTAGGGGACAGCGGATCGACAAGGCTTCATTCATTCTCTTTTCCAGCGACGGAGACTGAAAACAGCGTCCATGGCTTGGCGAATGGTGTCGAGCCAAGTCTTTAGTTGCCCCCCTTTTTG